TTCATCATAAGTGTCACAGTGAACATGAAATACACCTCAGATGAATGGCTGCTGACTAAATTTGCACACTGAATACTCAATATCTGTAAAATCATTATTTTCCTCTATACCCATCAACTGATCTCTATCACAGTCTCTGAGGTGACTCAGATAAGGGAAAAGGATAGAGTCAGAAAAGAAATGAGTATGACAATAAAGGCTGAGATTAAAAACCCTCTCTCACTGTCTGCCTATCTCTCATCTATCTTGGTTCAATGTATAAAGGAAATTATACAGTAACATAATAGAGAGCAAATATGAAACAATAACAAGAAAGAAAATTATCACAGTATAATTTCATATATATAAATCTAATGTTTTGTTGTTGTTTTTATTTCATACTAATTGCATTTTTCTGTGGAATATACTGTATTATTATTACATAATACTGTTGTGAAGATTACTGCTGCTTTTCACAAAGCACATATATTTTTCAAACCATATAGTGTGATTTAATTTTGAAAAAGATGTGGTGATTTCACATTATATTCTGAATAAAACTAACATATATTGTAAAATATATTTGGAGACCATTAAAAAATTCAAGTTGTTTAGTATATGAATATGGACCCCTTTGCAGACATGTAGAACAGATGAGCTGGCAGATTAAGATAACAGTTTTATTAAGTGACACAATGAATGAGGGCATGCTTGGAGTCTAGGCAAACAAAACTGAGCAGGGAGAACCAGAGTCTGAGTGAGACAGGGGTCAGAGGCATACAAACAGTCCAAGCTTAGCCATAAATCCATGGGAGTAGGCAAAAGGCAGAGTCCAAACATGAGGGAACAGGAGAAACACTTGAGGGCTAAAGGACCGAGGCTACAGGGAAGCAAAGCTACAGTGAGCACATCAGATAATCTGGCAAAGGCACAAGGGAAACCAGGAAGAATACTGTACATACTGAGGGAGCTGATGAGCAAATTGTGGTGCTGGGATTAGCAACAGGTGTGCAGAGCAAAGCTGTCGGGAAAATCTGGGGAAATAGATGGGGAATAAAGGTTTGTAGAAAAATTAGCGAGGAATACATGTGGGCAGAGACAGGAACTGTGGCGTCTGACCTGTGTAGCAATTGTATAGCAATTGTATAAATAAAACTATATTTGTCCTCAAATTTTGATAATGCAACACACACATCAGTAGCTATTTTTGGCTTTACAGTCATTTAGCTACCAAGACCCGGTTTAAGATGCTGACCACAATGTTCCTGGTTCAAGTTTGGCCCGGGGACCTTCACTGCATTCACCATCTGTCCTCCATCATTCTGTTTTAGCTTTCTATTGCACAATTTAATTAAAGGCAAATACGGCAGTGCCGGTAATGCCTGCTTATGATAGAAACAATCAGTGTGTGTTGCTATTAATAATTACATTTTCAAATTGTTACCGAATTTTTCAGCACTGTTTCTTTCTTTCTCCCCATGCCTCCATCTTTGCTTTTCCCTAACTAGCCGGACTTGTCAGAAGCAGCCTTGCTCCATCAAGCCAGGAGGGATCAGGTAGTGGATGCTTGTCGAGTCTACAGTGCATCCAGCCGTAAGAGGCGGGTTTTGACACCTGGAGACCTCAAACACCTTGTGGTGGATGAGGACCATGAGCTCATCTATTGTTATGTCCCCAAGGTGGCCTGTACCAATTGGAAACGCGTCATGATGGTGCTCACAGGCCGGGGAAAATACAGGTGAGTCTAGTGCCTGTCAAATCAGCATTTTACTAGCTGCCATTCATTCCCATTTTACTTTTATTGCTCTGTGATTGACAAACAGGAAAAAAAAATCCATGTTGCAGGTAGTTACATCATGCGAATGCATATTTTTTGTTTTGCCCATATTCCTCAATGTCTTTGTTTCTCTTCCCCAGTGACCCAATGGAAATCCCTTCCAATGAAGCCCACATTTCCTCCAACCTGAAAACGCTGAACCAGTACAGCATTGCTGAGATCAACCATCGCCTCAAGAACTACCTCAAGTTTCTCTTTGTTCGTGACCCCTTTGAGAGGCTTGTCTCTGCATACCGCAACAAGTTCACCCTCAAGTACAACTCATCCTTCCACAAGCGTTTTGGCACTCGTATAGTACGGCGCTACCGCAAGAATGCCACACAGGATGCCCTGCTCAATGGTGCTGATGTCAAATTTAAGGAATTCATTGAGTACCTAGTTGACCCGGCTACACAGCGTGATGGCCCACTCAATGAGCACTGGCAGACTGTCTATCAGCTTTGCCACCCATGTCACATCCATTATGATCTTGTGGGCAAGTATGAGACACTGGAGGAAGATGCAAACTATGTGTTGCGGCTGGTGGGTGTTGGTGACTCCCTGCGCTTCCCGAGCTATGCCAAATCTACTCGTACTACAGATGCCATGACAGCCCAATTTTTCAGCAATATCAGTACTCAACAGCAGATCCAACTCTACCAGCTTTACAAATTGGACTTCCTCATGTTCAATTACTCCACACCCAGCTACCTTCGGTTGGAGTAATGCAGGACAGAGCTTTGACTCTGAAAATCGTTGCCTTGTTTAAGGAGAAGACAGAATTTTTAGGATGCAAACTTGATTAAAAACCTGTCATTGTATTTTGCAGGTGTGGGGTATGAATTAGACATATAAACAAATGCTGAAAGTAAGAAAAGGTGTGCTTGTATGGGCCTAACTGGGTAGATGTCCAGTCAACTCTGGGTGACACAGAGAGCACTGATTGGATGAGAATGGGGTCTAAATGGACCAAACGCATGCAAAGACTAAACTGTGTTGGTGAAGCAGGTCTTCAAGAAGTTTTAAACAGGGAACCTATCCTGAGAGGATATTCCCAACACCCCAACAAACTGCTAAGAAATTAGGCTGCTTCAGCTTCTGCAAAGCAATCAGCAGCCTTGCACGTGCCCTGACTCAATACATTGTGGAAGCTAAGTTTACCCCACCCCCACCCCCACCATCGAATCAATACAGAGACTCCGTCAAATTGTAACACAGTTGCTGTCCTTTGCTGCACTGTCAGTATTGTGCGTTAGTACCCATCATCCTCATTAAATTCACACATTTCAGAGGGAAACTGGCTCTTCATCCTGTAATAATGGCTACTGACTTTACTCTCAAGACCTGGAGTATACAAGCGCTTAATAAATCATCGCTATTAGCATCAAGCATCCTTGACACTTTGAGCTACAGGACACGGTTAGAAAGGTACAGAATGTGCTCACATGATTGGAGTGCACCAGCTGTGAGCACCACATCTGTTGCTGAGCTGAAAGAAAAGAGACAGGCCAAAGTGGTTCTGAAAGGGTTAGTGGCACTGGATCTCAAAACTCCACTCAGCCACGCCCCACCTAGAGGCTCAGTGGACACATTCAGGGCCACAACCATTAAACTCTGCTCTGACGACCAAACATGTTGCTCAGTAAATTAAGATTATCCTTTGGTCTTCATGCTTAGTTTTGTTTTTAGTGTCTCATGAAACATTGCTGCGAGCAGCAATAACAAAGATTATTTAATTTTCTTTGTGGATTAAACAAAGAGTGAAACATTTAATATTTTGTTCTACCTGGGATAATTTTAAAAGAGATTTTTAACGTTGAACTGTTGATTTGTTTTGTCATGTTGATTTCTTTTTCCACAACTTGCCTCCAATACATTATTAGTGCATTGCAATATTTTTGTTTCTGAAGGGTGTATGGTACTTTTCAGTTGTAACTTTGTCCTTCTGTGTCTGAGTTCATCAGAGATTTATGGAGATTACGGTTATTTCTTGTTGTCAATCATCTGGTGCCAAAATGTGAGAACCTCAGAGATCCACACTCATTGTTCAGTGTACATCACTGCTGTTAATCAAATCATGTAAAGATACCCTCCCTCCCCAGTCAGACCATGAAAACTAGCTACTGTTCTCATTGTCCACAACAACCTCCTGCCCACATCACAGAATCAGAAACCTACTGTATACTGTAATGTGATCAGTTGTATCAATGCTAAGCAGTCAAGGTAAATAGCTGCATTCTTCATCATACCATATACTGGATTACACAGGAGGGAGAGAGAGAAAATATGTCCTGTCTCAAACTGCAAAGAGAGAAGGAGTCATTTTGATTTTTGCACCTCTATGTAAATTCTAAACCAGCTCTTAAGTAAAAGAGACATTTTTTTGAAAAGCTGCATCTCTTTGTTATACATGACTGACTAAGAATTTTTCTTGAGTTTGAACCTATGGTTGTACTCCCCCTCTCTGTTATATTGATTTTAACAAAAGGGTTTTATTTATGTAGTTATGTCAGTCATTCTTGCTGTTAATTATAACTCACTAGATCCATGTACCCCTTGACATTCAATTATTCTGGGGCCCTAAATCCTCACTGGGCTCCCAAGAGTCCCAGATTCTATGAGTGGCAATTGATTTGTGATAGTATGATTAATTGTAAATTTGTCTGGGAATATGGAGATATGCACTATTTCAATTCAATTCACTTTTATTTGTATAGCACCAAATCACAGCAAAGGTCATCTCAGGACACTTTACAAACTAAGGTCTATATTTATTATTATTATCATTATTGAGAAAAACCTAACAAATCCCCCTTGAACAAGCACTTGGTGACAATGGGGAGGAAAAACTCCCTTTAACAGATGAAACCTCCAACAGACCCTGGCTCTTGGTGGGCGGCCTTCTGCCTTGATCGGTTGGGGTGAGTGGAAAGAGGAGAGAGAAAAGAAAACTAAACCACAGTAACAGTTGATGTGACAAACTACTTGTTTACTTAGCCTATAATACAAATCCTGGACAACTTCACTATAATGTTTTGTGTAGTTCTGACTGCATTGTAGATTAAAACTAAATGTTATTGGGGGCCGACTGTGGTTCAGTGGGTAGAGCAATCGTATCCCAACTGGAGGGTCGAATCTCAGTGTCTGCAGTCCATGTGTCGAAGTGTCCTTGGGCAAGACACTGAACGCCCAAGTTGCCCCCGATGGTTAGAGCCATAGGTTGAGTTGGTGCTGCAGATGGCTGCCTCGGTTCTGTATCGGAAACAAATTCCTTGTGTGTATAACATACTTGGCCAAATAAAGGTGATTATTCTTATCCTTAACTATTCTGATGGATGCTTCAATTGCAAATCTCTTCTGAAGCATTATTACTGTACATAAGTGCACATGCCTGTGTGGGGGTTATGATGAGAGAACAGCCTTATTTTCTGTTTCACTCTCACACAGACATCATGCTCTAATAAAGGAGGAAAGCTCCTGGCCTGGCTTGTACCCCCGGCCCTCATTCTCCTACAGAAACAATGGTTGTATTCACAGCACAGCCTCCTCCTGGGTTAGACACACAAAAATACATACAATCAGCTTGCACATTAGCACTCCTGCTGATATTGATACTACGCAGCATCTTACTCAGCAGTTTTAAGCAGAGGCGCGGGCAAGTAACACACTGACTGATCCTCAGCTTAAACTGTTCATTTGGCCCCAGAATGGAAGACGAACGATACACAAAGGACCTCTTAGCCTGCAAACAAGCCATTACAGAGGCCTCTCTTCTACTCGCTTTATTTTCTCCTCTCCCACCTCGCTCTAAAAGTGGCCTCCTGCATAAAAAACACACAAGTAATTCAGTGTTGATGATCCCTACCATCCCTGCAGGAAAAGGACAGCCTGTTTAAACAAACAGAGCTGGTATAAAATCCCCACAGGCAGCTAAGCAAGCACTGACAGGCCCTGGTGGAGTTTCTGACTTGGATATAAAGAAACTACCATATTTCAAGCAATTTTATTCCTATTCTTCTCTCCACAGTCTGCATAAATCCAGGCCAATTTACTGCCCAGTTGGAGCATTATATTCAAGTCCAGCCAAGGAGTGTATCCATGTTGTTTTTGAACAACATCTATTATTAGACTGAATTACATATTTGCTTGTTTGCTTGCAAGAAACACAAGAAATCTTCCAAACAGATCCATTGAAGTTTTTCTCAAGGACCGGTTGATGTGATTTGTGCTTATAGCTTTGTAGTAAAGAAGATATATACTGTATATAGCTCCTGAGAAACAATGTCTTCTTGTCTCACTCTGATCGTATTCTTCTGTTTGAAAGAGTTATTGTATATTGATACAACTAATATTTAAAAAAACTTTTTTGACTTATAAACAGCATCACATTTATTTCTTGAACAATGTTACATAGTGAATCTTATCATTTGCTCAGCAAGAAAGCAACTACATATATTCCCCATAATGTTGAATAATATCATGAAATATAAAAAAAGTATCTGCATTTTTAATATTTTACTTTGGATGCTGTTCGGCATACAAAATATTAAAAATGCTTTTCTCCATAAATATTGGCACAGAAGGACAAAGTCGGGGATTTCTGATCAACTGCTCTCCTTCTCTTACTGTTTCATTTCTGACATATCCCAAAACAGGATGTTTTGTACAGTGTAGACATTATGTAGTTCAATCTGCTTCTTATATTTGAATGTTATATTGTTTGATTATGCTGGTTGCCACACACCTACATTGTATGGCGTTCTTGTTTCTCTGTGCCTTTTATTTACAGCCACACAGAGACATTGAAAATATTCACAGTAGTTTGTCTGGTCACTGTGTCCTTTGTCCATACTGAGACATGGGTGGCTGTGGCTCATGAGGTAGGGCAGTCGTCTCCTGACCAGCAAGTTGGTGGTTCGACTCCCGGTCTCCCCGCATGCCTAAGTGTCCCTGAGCAAGACACTGAACCCCGAATTGCTCCTGGTGGCTTGACTAGCGCCGGTGCATGGCAGCTTGTCGTCATCAGTGTGTGAATGTTGTGTGTGAATGGGTGAATGGTGTATCATCTCTGTAAAGCGCTTTGGCCAGTGCAACACACTGTGAGAAAGCGCTATATAAAATACAGTCCATTTACCATTTTACACACACACACACAGACATGCACAAACAACAAATTTGAAGATTGTCAGTATAATAAACATTTGGGAGCCTGGATGAGCTTCACAGTTTATATGTTTGAGACCAGATTTACCAGACTGATTTACGGCACAACAGAGGAAGTGTTTTAATTTTTTTTATAGTGCAAAGCTTTATTCCAGGCGCACTGGGCTTTACTAAAATGCATATTTACTGATAACTGAAATGTTCTTGGCTCTTGACCTTCCTCTTGCTCCTCTAAAGAGAACTCACTTTGCACAGTGGATTCAAAGGGTGTCACACCACTCAGTGACCGTTTTCATTGCCATAAATATGGTTGAGCAGGGGCCTCCGTCCTGCCTAGGAGGCTAGGAGGTTGATATCATGGCTAGCAACCATGATACATACTGTAGGTGTAAGGTATTCATGTTCAGTGTGAAACATTGTGTTTTGTGCCCATGACCCTTTTAACCCAAGCTGGAGCATGACTGCTGTGTTTATTATAAAAAATTAAAAGAAGGTCTATGGGATAATAATGGCCTACTGAAGCTCCTAGTTGGTAAGTGGGCACCTACAGTACTGAGCTGTAACTACTGTATCTTCTGACAACAAGTGATAACGGGCCATTGAATGGTGTGATAACATCTAAAGTGGGTGCATTGCAACAGGAGCCATTTAATTTGAGAATCTCAAAATGGATGTATTTTTTACTTGAAGAGAATTCTCTTCATACTTCTCATATGTCACATGCCTTGCTACCATAGGCTACTTACAGAAACATACATATTGTATACACACACTATGACATGGACACACTGTAACATCACACAGTCAAATACATGCAAAGGCCTATGTGACCACACGAGAGAGAGAAGAGAAGACTGGACTTCTTCTGTTGCCTCTCAAGGCTCTTGACTCAAGTTCACACTAATGTGGATGAAGATGTTTTTCTGCTTAAAAGGCACTCAAGCACGAGGAACACCAGATGTGTTTCAGTGAAAACTGAGCATTTCAAAAAGGCATTA